CTGTGAAATTATTTTGCTCAATGGAATACTTTCCGATCCTAACACACGTCGTCTGACCTCATCGTTATTCACGCGGGTGATGTTGAACAGACAACGATTGTTGAATACGAATAGTCGTTGGACATGATCTGCTCGGACAGGCCAGATTTCGCAGCCATAGATCAACACGGTGCCTACTGTTGCGTAATACACACGCCTTTTCAGTGAAAGGGATATGTCTCACCGGCGTCGGAGGTGCCGCAGATTGGCGAACGCTAATCAAGCTTTGATTATGCACTGAAAGATTTCTTCACCCACCCCTCCACCAGCCGTTATGAAACTCCCGAGGTAGACAAAGCTTTCGACTACTTCCAGACTGTGATTACCCAACGAAAGTGCAGGAATGGGTTCCTGCCAATCTTGCAACAACACTTTACACTTTGAAGGTGCAAACGACATATTGTAATTGGTAACCTCAATTTCTAAACGATTCAACGACTCTTGAATAGTTGGTGCGTTGTCACCCAGTAAGGCAATATCATCGGCATACTCTAAGTCTACCACTCTGTCTCCAGGAAGAATCTCGACGCTATCGTTTGTTACGTTATGTAATGCCTTTTGTAGAACATCGTCTATGGTAAAGTTGAAGAGAAATGGAGAAATACGGCAACCCTGTTGCACCTCACTGGTGACAGGAAATGAGGATGAGAGTTCACCATGGGTCCTAATCTTCCCCAAGGTCTGGCGATAGAGCGCTTTTAGAAGATAAGCATACTTCTCTGGTATTCCGTTTCTGTGCAAACAGTTCCACAGTGCGGGGCGATCGACAGAGTCAAAAGCCACTCTGATGTCTAAAAAACGACAATGGTTTGCCGTCTGTATGCGTGGCGATGTTCTAGTAGCTGACGGAGGGTGGAGATTGGATCTATGCAACCACGGCGGATTTGCCTGTCACGAAATGGGCTTAATCTGAGCAATAAAATGGACGCCTGCAGCTTCGCCGCTATTTGGTATCAGACTCATGCCCGTGGGATTGGAACAGACGTTGCGACAGCCCTTCTTGTAAATGGATGAAACAATCGATTCTCCCCAGGTGTGGGGTACACTTCCGATTTCCCAGATCTTCGAGAACAGTCTCACAAGCTCTCTCATGAGGATTTCTCTGCCATCTTTAAAGACGGTAGGTGGCGGGCCATCAGATCCAGCTGCCTTGTGGCGTTTCAGGGCTTGGAGTTCCTTTCGAATCTTCGCTTCTGTGGGCAGTCCCGTGGGTAGTGATCAGGGTGCACTCTCAAGAGAACTGCTTGGGGTAGCCAGCGCGGGCGGCTGGTTGAACTGCAACTATGCTTTCTACTGCAACCATACTACTTGGCGTCTCCAACCACCGGTAACCATGATCTCGGGGTCCCTATCTAGGAAGCCTAACGGGACCCATGTGACTCAGGCTCCTGGTGGATAGATGAGGCAGCACCCATCATCGAACTCAATAGTGGTACTTCTATACGGCATTTGCCTAACAGTAACAACAAGATAAGTGTATAAGTGGTTATTATTACCGACTTTTTGTACCTGTTATGGGGTGATATGTATTGAGTGGAATATATCTGACAAATGTCAGAGCGTCGCACGAATTTGATCAATACGTGCATATATTTGTATATATATATATAACTAGAGAATAGTGAGTAATGGAGGATTTGATTTAATTGCAGAGGTGAATTCGTCATGTATATAGCAAATGAAGTGTGAACTGAAAAGCTAGGAAGCACTGGACAGCTGGTTCGGCCTGGTTGGGTCTCATCAGCAGTGCGAATCCGTCGACCCGACTGGGGATCGAACCAGGGACTTCATGGGCAGAACGCAAGCAGGGTACCCACTACAACGTGCAAGTGCCATTACCGCATATCTCATTTTCCTATCACAGTTGCCGTCTATTCTCATGTGTTTCAATCCTATACATGATAGTAGAACAATCGTTCAAGTTTTCATCTCTGTCGAGTTAACCTTAACAATATCGAATGTGGCGAACAAGCTCATGTTCAGTGATTTGTAATCATTTCAAATACATCACAATAAATATCACGCTGTTTATATATGTAGCAATATTCGAACGTGAAAAAAACTGATCAATTGTTTTGGGAGAAGGAAAATTAACCTCAGGTTACCGAGGTCTAATTTTGTCTTAGGACTGGGCGTGGGATTCTCAATGATCGCATAACTCCTACCGCTTCCGAAAAGCAAGCGGAAGCTGACGTTTATTTTTTTAGATGATGACTTTTAGGCGTACTGTTGTAAAGCTGAACTTGCAGTCCGTGTGAGTGACGGAGTTCTCATTTGGCATTTATTCTAACACCACCATGAGTCACTTCGAAATGGCCACTTACAACTTACTATATTCAAAAAAAACGGCTATCCAGAACGAATGGTTAGCGAGATGATTCAGTGTAGTGGAGATATTGTGAAAAAGACCTAGGTCAGAAAGAAGTCGGTAAATATTGCCTTGCCGTTCAAGAGGAATACATCAACAGACTATCCGATGCTGTTAATTAAACCATCTACGCAGCAGAACTCAATGTTTTGTTTACGTCCTAGTCAATTACGAGTAAAGGCCGAAATGCCACAATTTGCCGTCTTATTTTGTGTGTACTCATTTACGTGTTCTTGTGGAACGATACGCAGGCCGCACGGTCAGTCGTTTGATCGAACAAATCCGTGACCACCACTCCTCATGGCTAAATACGGGAACGATCAAGTCACTCGCTAGCGCTCAGTGGTTTCACACATAGTTGAAACAAATCACACTGTGAATGTGACCGAGGCATTCCGTCCCCTGTATCGGGTTCGTGATCGACTATCAAGGTAGGTTCGATGTCGTAAGCCGGTCACGCGGAAGCGGTAGCAATTCGGCTGCACCACCCCCCTCTGGCTGCCGAAAAACAATTTGTGCAGGCGCTTAAGCTCCCTTGGTCCACCCCCTACACACCCCATATCCCGAGTTGGTCCAACGACCGGATGGTCTAACAATTATGCGATCGTTAGGTCCTCCGATCGTTGGGATCACTCCTACCAAAAAGAGATGGTGACATTTGCTGATTCATGTGAGTAATGGAGGATTTGGTTAAATTTCAAATGGGAATTCGTCGTGTATATAGCCAATGAGGCGTGAACTGAAAAGTCTGTCGGCTCGATGGGTTCGCACTGCTGATGAGACCCAAACCAGGTCGAAACAGCTGTCCAGTGCTTCCGAGCTTTTCAGTTCACGCTTCATTTGCTATGTACACGACGAATTCCCATTTGAAATTTGCTGAATTCTTTGAGTGCTCTCATCCACCGGGATGCGCTGTCTCTCTTTGTTTATCCAATGCTCTTGATCAAACGAGCATCATTAACCTAGATCCAGTCATTTGATTGTATCTGTTTTTACTGCAGTAATAGTGAGCATC